CTCACCTCACTTGGACAGCTTGGTCCATCCAAGCTTCAGAGTTCTCCATAGTTGCTGGACCCTCACTGACACTGCTTTGTAGCCCATCTTCTCTCTGCCCAATCCTGCTTCCCTTTCTTCCTCAAGTGCTGATTACAAGTCCCTGCAAGCTAATCTTCATCACAGTCTGCTTCCTAGATAACATATGGCCTACCAGGTCTACACCATCTTTAGGTGCCTTCTCTGCACCCTCTTTCTCCAATCTTGCTACTTGTCAGTCTGGCCTTTAAGGTCTTTGAATATGGAATGTTTGCTCCCTCTAGTCTGTACCTGTGATTTCCCAGTCCTCTTCACTTAATTGCCCCCACCTGTCTATATGATCTTACGTCTATAACTTTTAACTGAGGAAACATTATTTTCTTTTCTACCAGCCTCCACTCGGGCTGTTTTTCTTCCCTTCATAACACTTACAAGTTCTATTCCCCTCCCAGAATTTAACATGGTAGCAAGGCTACTAACTTTTTGTGCACTGCTGCATCCCTTGTGTTTTGTATGCTTACAGGGGGTTTGGATAAAGGCTGCACACACTAAGAAAGCTTGTTGGAAGGATTAAGTAAGGTAACTGTATATTACTGGCAGATAGTTGCACCTGCTACACTGCATACTGAGACTTTTAGTCTATGAACTTCCTAGGTGATACAAGACCCCAAGGAACCACCTAGCCCAAACAATTCTCCATAGTATAGTGGGGGAAAATGCACATTGTCTTTAAAGTGATCTCCCATCCTCTTATTCATAAATGAGCGTCCACAAGTGTAAACAAATCTTAGCTACTTGAATTATCTGTTTTGTCCAGCAATACCATTTTTGTCACATATATACTGGTCTTCCCTTCTAGAAAGTCATCTTCCTTAAGGGGTCATATCCTGTTTATCGTATGATATCCCCAATACCTAGAATCAGGTACAATAAACACAAAATTAAATATTTGTTGCAAGTTGAATGAAAAAGTGCTAATTGTATTGGGGCTTAGGAAATATCAGAATCTGCTCACATCTTTTGAGCTACATTTGGCAAAATTATAGTAAATTAAAGTCCATCTCCTTTCCTCCACCCCTGTAGTAGCCAGGAAAATCCAAACTAGAACATTGTGTACTTGGAGCATAAGTAAGCACACCAGGTCTGAGAAACTCAGAAATAAACTACATTGCTATTAATTCCAAATTTGCTAACATTCAACAGTATTTAATGTACTCATGCTAAGATACTAATAAGTTTTCAAAAATACTTTCCCAACATGTCAGCCATGAATTTTTTTTCCTGGTACAATTTATCTTGGTTTTCTAACCACATACTTCACATGGTTTTAACCATTATCTATTCATAAAAAAAAAAAAAAGAGGAGGCAAAGAAAGAGAAAGTATAAAGTTCTGATGTAATTTCCAGTTAGCTCATTTTACCCTCCAATTTTTAATTAAAAGTAAATTTTCAGGGCCCTCCCTGGTGGCACAGCAGGTTAAAATGCAGCACTAAAAAGCTAGAGCCATTCCAGCATGAGTTCGATCCCTGCCCCAGAGATGATCTTCATGGCGTGGCAGACCTCTCCTGACCCGCCCGCTGCTCCCCTCAGCAGTGTAGTTCATCGATCTGCCTGTTCTGCTCCCCACTTTGTCTCTGGTGAAGCCTCTCTGGCCTGTACTACAGTTCTGTACGAATAAGTAAAATCTTTAAAAAAATAAAATGCTAATGTTTTAAATTTTAATTGAAGGTCTGATAGGCTGGAAAGTCTATCACTCTACAACTGGGTAAATCAAGCAGGAAATCAGTTATGAGGTAAAAGATTTCAATGAAATATAGTGAGTTGTCTACAAAACTGGTTTCATGCAGATAACTAAGTTATTTCTAATTTTCTGCACAAAATTTATCCCTATTTTAAAGAATTATTTTAGTTTAACATTAAGATTTCTTTAACACAGAACCTATAAGTAGCAAGCCCCTACTCTTCAAAACATAGCATAGTGGGAAAGTTTTACAAAACATTAGGATCATTGGAAAATGATTCATAGATCTATGCGCTAAAGGTTTTGAGAGGCTAGGTAGACAAATAAAAGCAGCCATGTAGAAAGAACATTATAAATACAGGAATGATAATATTGAATGCATAACTGAAGATGCCAGTCACCAGGCACAGACTACAAAATTAAAGAGAATGATTATTATTTAGGCAATTATGGAAGATCTTTAAGTAGATCTGTGTGTGTTTTTTTATTCCTTTCTTTATGCTATGAGAGAATGTACCTTTTTTCTCAGGTTACATTTCACACTGTAAATTAATAGACTCACATTCTGGTTCAAGTGTCAGCTTTTGCAAATTTGATATAAGCCATTTTCTGAGAGGTATGCTCATCTTTAGTGGGTTAATTCATCAGATTTCCAAGCCTGGAAAGCTAGATAAAATCTGATTCAAGAATTCACCAAGGCAAGTAATATTTCACACACACACACTTTGGTGGCCTGTTGGGTCATGCCCAGGTGAGACCTTCAGTTTTTTGATATTTCTATAAAATGGAGAGCAGAGCAATTAGTGCAATCATCCAAATCAGAGACAAGGAAAGGAAATAGAACTGTGGCTGAGAATTTATAAGATTTCAATTTAGAGAGTTAGGGAAGAATAGGAGATTCCTAACTGTGTGACAGAAGGAAAGGCAACTTTAGGTGTTGACACATGTATGGAAATATCTAAAAGGCCGTTGAAATGAGGTTCAAGAAATACAAGCACTGCATTTTCTTGAGAACAGGTCAACTTGTTTTAACATAAATTGACCTGTAATGAAAACTCTAAAGGAGAAAAAAGCTCTTAAGAGCAAAATGTTGGGTTAAGTCCTAAAGGCTTCCATCAATATCATAAAACAAATCAAAGTGAAATGAGTAATGCCAAGTCGGTTGTACACAGATGCTTTATTTTTGTTGTTAATATATGTCAACAATGTATGCAAGATTTTCTCACAATGGAAAGTTATTCCATCCATTAAAAAACTCAATTTAGTCAGGGTAATTGCTATATTATTTGAAATTCTTACAGCAAAATGCAGTACTATATATGTATAGTCAGTTTCCATGCAAGTATGGCTGCTACATGTTTGTCTGGCATTTATACACCATACTGAAAGAAATTCAAATGAACACAACAGTATAAAGGTGACTTAAGATGCCTGACATGTATAACATTAAACATTTTCTTGCAAAAAGCAACAAAGCAGTTAACTGGAAGATTCAACCAATACCAAATATATACCATGTCCAAAAAGCCCAAGCTTATCTGTTAATATATTATATTTGAGATAACTTAATGCTCAAGCAAAATTATGCTTTAAAAAATATATAGCTCTTCCAAAATATTATACTTTGGTGATTGGAGACTATGTACATCAAAACAGCTAGGGGTTACATCAAAAAAAAAAAAAAAAACCCATTATGTACTATTAGTTCAAGGTAACTGAAAATGAAATGATCCAGTATGATTTTGCTACAATCATTGGTTTTACAAAGTTCTGTGAGAAGTTCACTAATTAGGAAGCAATCAACATATACTTAACAAACATGCTAAGATTCAAATTGGCTCATCTATTTGTTATTAACAAGGCATAATCTTAGTACAACCCATTTTCCTAACTTCTCACTATATGTAATACGCAAAAACTAGCACGTGGATTTAAATAGCTTAAAACCCTCCTAAGGTTTACTGTTCAAGAGCTAGGACTTAAAATACTTAGTATTTCCATTTCTATTAACACAAAAACTTCAGAAAATCTTAAGGTTATTTTTTTGTTTGTTTTTTAAGGCATAGAATTTTGGTATTTGCAAAATTTGCCTGGTAATGGTTGATTCCATTAAGTTAACTTGAGAACTTGCCATCATTTGCTTTTTATCTTTTCACACAGTGCAAGTGGTGGTCGCTCTTTCCTTCTCTCATAGCAGCAAGCCGATTCTGCTATTTTCTATAGCAGCATACTTTAGGAGTGGAGAGGGAGAGAGTGTGTCAATTATAAATAATTAAAACTACAGTGTACAATTCTATTTACCTGTCAGTGTTTAAATTGACAGCACACCATTATATGTTTCAAAAAAAAAAATCTCTACACAAAAGCAAATAAAGATATTCTTTCAAAAAGAAATAAAATAAGTGCAAACACCTAAAACAGGCAACTGAAGCAATTGTTGTAACCTGTGGAGAAACACAAAACACTTACAAAAGGACAAAATATTTTTATAAATAAAAGATAATGTTTTCTATTTCTGAAACATTGAGTAAAGGTAATAAACTAAGTGCAGACTGTTTTTAGGGACCGAAGTACCATATTACTTTTTAAACAAAATGCAAAAATTTCAAACACATATACAAATCACCAGATTAATTTATAAGACCCCCCCATATAATTTAAAAAGAAAATATTAAATTATTTAGTACATTTTTAGAACTACTTTATAACCAACATGATTTAAAGGGCATAGTGCAATATTTAGGTAGATGTGACTTACAGTATAGATTTTGTATTCTTTGCAGCTATAACTTACTACTCTCATACTTAAAAGTGAAAATTGTTCTTTACTATGGTAGCTGTAATAACAGGAAACAACACTGGCTTCTAGAAACTCTGTATAGGTATAAATATCTACATTTAAGCTTTTAAAATGAAAATAAATTATAAAAACTGACTTCTTTCCAATTTACAAAGTTTTCCTGCTCCTACTTACTGTACAATACATTCAACAAAACTCTCAGCTCTTCTGAGATTTATGAAAATACTGACTCTCTTACTAATAAGGAAAAAAACCCTTTTCAATGTTTTTGTTTAGTATTCAAATAAATACACTTTAACACTGTAGTTACTTTTACTGTTTTAGAAAAATACAAAAAAATTAGTAGTGCAACTTTCCATCCTTCTTTAAATTCCTTTTCATGTGTTTCTTTCTAAATGGTAACCTATGTGGACCAGCATGTGGGTAAGAAAGTACTTAATAAAACCATGCTGCTTCCCCATACATAGACTAATTTCAAAAGTCATATATACTTATAAACCTATCTGTAACCAAACTGAAGCATCAAGAGAGTAGCGTCATCTATCTTCTGAAGAAAAGATATGAGAATTTACTTTTAGAAGATCATGAACATCTTAATGTGACTTTCAACCCTGTTCTTTAAAAATCATTTTTAAAAATCTATTCCTTAAAAAATATTCTATGAAAACTACCTATGGTGGCTTGGCTTTCTGTTGTCCAATATGAAAAAATATGCCAACTGTTTTAGGCCTGTATTAAAACTTTAAAAACCATTCACAAAAATTTCATTGTAACCTAATTTAGCACAGAATATATTAAGGGAGGGGGGCATTTCATCAGTTTTAATAACAATTACAATATTAGGGCTCTTGAAGTGTTGCTGGTAGCTGTATAAGTACTCAAATATCTTCTTGCTTGTTCAGTCATTATAAGCTGATCTTCTGTCTTCCCATACACCACTGTTTCCCATTCACAATTTGACTAGGAGGAAAATATTAATAGTGATGTGAAAATTAGCTAAAATAACTATCCCTAATACTTCACAACTAGAGTTTAAAAGTCAATTACTTTGTTTACTTGATCATAATTGCTGTAGAAATATTTTGATAATGGCATTGATTCTTTTTAAATGTTGTGATTTAAAAAACATTTTCAAATATTTATAATCAATTTTCTTAAAGTCATTTTCCAGCTATCTATATTGTGTACAGGCCTGTGAAGGCAGTTTGAAAGTTTTGTCCCCATAACACCCCCTTAGTCAAATCAATATTAACATGGAAAGAAATGTCTTTATTCCTTCATATTTTTGCAAAATATTTAAAGAGAGGATGCAATGTCAAAAAATGAGCCAAGAGGGCCCTCCCTGGTGGCACAGCAGGTTAAAGCACAGCACCAAGAAGCTCAAGCCACTTCCGTATGAGTTTGATTCCCGCCTGTTCCGGAGGTGACCACATGGCGTGGCAGATCTCTCCTGACCCACCCACTCACTGCTCCCCTCAGCAGTATACTTCGTCGATCTGCCTGTTCTGCTCCCCACTCTGTCCCTGGTGAATCCTCTGTCCCTGGTGAATCCTCTCACCCTCCGCATCTCTGGCCTGTACCCCAGTTCTGTATGAATAAATAAATAAATCTTTAAAAAAAAAAAAAAGAGCCAAGAATGCATTGTCTGGAAAATTAGGAAATATACTCATAACTAAAGTCAAGTTTATATTTGTTTTGTTGTTATTTTTCCTTCTTATAAAGGTTACTATATTAACAAATTTTTCTGAAATGTTCTGTGTTAAATGCTGGGAAATCAAATAATTTTAGATATCTGAAATGAATGTGCAACATGGTTCTTTTAAGAGCAGCAATTCATGACAGCAGTGAGGTGCCTATCTTTGATAGCTAAAGAAAGCTTTCAAGGAAAGCTTAACTGTTAGGAATGCCAATGCTACAGTTACTGTAGTGTAAAGAAGAAATCTTCCCTTTTCAATGAACTCTCAAAATCTCTGGGTTGAAATCTTGAGATAGTAAGGTAAAAAAAATTTCCATCTTTCATTTGCAGCTACGTACTGCCTACTTAGCTCTAGGGAAAAAAAGGATTTTATAATTTTTGAGCCAAAAAGTTTACTGGAACTTTATAAGTTCATTATACCAACAGAATCAATCTAAAACTGCTTCCAACCACTTACCCTTCCTAAATAGCTATTAGGGCTGTTAATATTTATTAGGAGAAGAAGTGCCAGAAGGGACTTAGACATTTTTAGTTTAAAAAAGAAATTATGCTTAAGAAATCACCAGAAGAGTCTATGGCTACAAACTCTAATCGTTTAATTTATATGTATATCTTCAAAATTCCAACCTAATTTGAGGGACAAAATAATGGTGACTGTTTAGTTACTATATAGTTAATTTTGAATTAAAAAAAATAGTAATAATTTGTGATCATTAAGTTCAAAGTGATAACTGAATAAACAACAAAAATCACTAAAAGAAATGTAGAAATCCATACCTGAAGATTCTTTTCCAATGTGACAACTTTGGAAGTGTTAGGGTTTGGTTTCTTTTTATTAAGTGTATATGTTTTGTTGGCTGAATTTATATCTTGTTTTTCAGGAGTCGGGTTGCACCTACTGTCATGTATTTCCAATAATGGTATCATTAATAAAGATGTTGTAAATATATTTTCTGACTAAGAGAGGAAAAAAGAAAGAGGAAAAAAAAATAACTAATTCAAAAATGGAGACAAACTGAGAGACTACTGAGTAAGTGGTAGTGGAAGCCCTATTCATTTCCCTCCAAGAAAGCTTTTGGCTCTGATGAAGTTTCTAGTAATGTAGTAAAATTAAATATTTCACAAATGAATCAGCGATAAATTAAACATTTTCAGAATTGCCATTTTTTGACATCATCTGTAAGAGGGCTTATTCCTCTCAAAACCAAAAAATATAAAAAGCAAGAAGTAAATATTCTTTTAGCTAATAGTTAATCTCTGAATTAGGCAGAATACTACTAAAGGGAACTCTCCATAAACTTCTAATGAACTAGACACAACAAGTAACAAACAAGAACCACTAGAACTTAAGGCTACCATTAACTAAAAAATTCTTTACAAACCTGCATCTCTGAAATGTCTTCAGTCAACAGTTGAGTACCTGGTTCTTCTTTTTCCCAATTATCTAAGATCAGTGATTTTCTAACTTTCTTCACAGAAGGAGTATGCTAAAATAAAACAATTTATAACAGAGACTTGATGGTAATGTCACTTAGACACATTAAGGTTTCTATTACAATAAAACTAAAAGTTACCTCTTGCTTGCAGCTTTTATAAGTAGACTCATCCTCCTCTTTAAGAAATATGTCTGTTCCAGTTTCTTCTTTTAAAACTTCCCGAATATCTTCTTCCAAGAAGGCAAGTGGCTGTGACTAAATTGTTTTTTAAAAACTTTTTTTAATAATGATAACGATGAACAGCTATATACCAAAGACATTTTGTGGGGTTGGAATGGGGAATGGAATCAAAAACAGTGGGGGGAGGGAAATGTACTGGACCATGGTGATGGCACACAGGTGATCTGGTGATGGGAAGCCCAAGGGGACTGCAACTGAGATGGAAAAATGCACAAAATGATGTAAAAATAAACTATTATAAAAATAAATCAAAACTGAATTGTACATTGGCAATAAAATCTATCTGGAGAGGCCCTCCCTGGTGGCGCAGCACAAAGAAGCTTAAGCCACTTCCGCATGAGTTCGATTCCCGCCTGCCCCTGAAGGAGACCACATGGCGTGGCAGACCTCTCCTGACCCGCCTGCTGCTCCCCTCGGCAGTGTACTTCGTCGATCTGCCTGTTCTGTACCCCACTCTGTCTCTGGTGAATCCTCTCACCCTCCGCATCTCTGGCTTGTACCCCAGTTCTGTATGAATAAATAAATAAATCTTTAAAAAAAATCTATCTGGATAAAAAAAAGTAATCTTTTATAGCAATTTCCTTTCTCCCCATATAAAGAACCCCATTTTTCATAGACTATCATATCTGGTATAATTTTCTTCCCAGTTCCTATACATGTATACTATATTAACTAATCACTTTTACAACAAAAATAATATTACACATTATAGACACTTGACAAAGTGAAGAAAATATGGCACTTTCTTGAAAGAAGCTACTGTATTTCCTGCTCCAATCAGAATCGTCAAAATTAAACAGAAAAGAGATTACTTACCAAGCATTTTTATTTAAACATAGGAAATACAGATCAAATCAGGACTACTTTAGCTATCATACTTTTACTGTACTCATAGTGTGTAATTATTAATTAATATATTTCATACCATGAAAAGTGTGAACTACCTGAGTATTGGTCACATCTCTTTCATCTGTACTCATCTTCATACACCTCGCTTTAAACTTAGAACTGAGACAAAGTGTTGAAAAAGTGCAAACGTGCTGTTGGGAGTAGGAAGGGTTGGAGTACAAGAGGGTATGTGTCTTTGTAATGGAGTATGAGAAGGCAGGTTTACTGAATTGCCTCAAAATTTCTATATCTAGCTTTATATTAAATAGTTAAACATATCCCATAGCTCAAAACGATTTAAATCATAACAAACACCTACCATAATGAAAAATTGCTTAAAGAAAAAAAGACAATAAAAGCTCCACTAAAATAAGAAAGTGGCAACACTTAATGATCTTCAGCTTATGAACATAGAGAGCAAAGTTGGAAGAATACCATTCCTATATTAATGAAATTTCACAGCGCTTAGAAAAAACTAAATGAGGAACTAGAATTTTAAATGTCTGCTCATTTAAAATTACAGCCTGAGACATGCAGAAATTATGTTAATGTTTCTTTGAAACACTGCTCCAAGAGATTTTAAGGACTATATTTCACAAAGAACAGAGGCATTCTTAAAAAGAAAATGGGTTTTCTTCCTAAAGAATACAAATGGCCTAGAAAAGAGATTATAACACAGAGAAATTCATTCACTACCAAGAATTATTCTTTGAATTGTCCTAATGTGACAAATAAAATATATGCTACATTTTCAGGCTTAATACTAACAAAATTAACAGATTTACATGTTCAAAAACTTCCATAACTTTCACTCACTAAAGTAAATTTTAAAAATAGTAGAAGAATCAATGTTTATTAAGAAGGCAACAAAAATTTAAAATATAGCTGGTTAAAATTTAAAAAACCAACCTGTAAGTAGTATCTTTGACTCACTGTAAGAAACATAAAAAGGCTAAGTAGTTAGCACACAGTAGGTGTGAATGAAGGAAAAGGAAGGGGAGGAATGAAAAATCAAGCCAGAATGTTACAAAGAAATGTAAGTGCTTATAAGTATTTTAGGAGTTTTAATCACTAAATCATTCCTTTTATCTTAAGTTGTAATGAAAATGATGTGTTTCAGCAATGGATAAATTCTCATCAAACAATTTGACAAGGACTTCAGTTCACTAGAAAACTCATTTCCTGGGCCTCCCTGGTGGTGCACGAAGTTAAGTCTCAGCACTATCAAGCCATTGCCAGCCACTGCAACATGAGTTTGACAATCCCCTCCCACCTCTGTCCGAGAGTTAACCCTATGGCACCTCTCCTGTTAACCTGTTGCTCCCCTCAGCAGTGTAGTTCAATAGATCCATCTGTTCTGATCCCTACTGTTTCTGGTGAATCCTCTCATAAACAATCACTCCCCACCGTACCTCTGGCCTACACACCAGTTCTTGTATGTGTAAATAAATAAAAATAAATCTTCAAAAAAAAGAAACTCACTTATCTCACTTATGTCCTACTGTAAAAATAATTATTTTTATTTAAATTAAATGTTGACCAAATGACCTGAGGCACTATGGAACTTTTAAATGCCTTCAAACAATTGTTTATTTGTCTTAGCTCCATTAGGCTACACAGTTCTATGAGAAGAACCATATCAGACATTTAACATTATAACCCCAAAGCCTAGACAGTGCCTGGCACCTATTAGGTACTCAGTCAATATTTGCTGAATTAATGATGAATTTTAAAAACAAATAGCAAAATACTGAAACATTATTTAAATCAATTAGGTAATCTGATGTAATGGAATATTACACAAACTAAAATGATGGTATAAATATATATATTTATTAATTTAGTAACAGTTAAAAGGTTACAAAAAGGCTACATAAAATGTGATCTCATTTTTGTTATGGGTATATGCATAAACAAAGTCTAGAGAGTGTTAGAGAGATTATGACTGTTCACAAGAGTATAGAGCTACACTGACAAAAAGACTTGACCAATCTTGTATGTACCATTTAAAATCAAACTTCCAAAAAGAACTACAAGATTTGAGTGTGTGACATGCTGTAGACATTAAGTTGATTAAATCACGTAAACTATAGGCTTTATTAATCTTCCTAAAATGTGACTAAAAACAGAACATAACTAAAGTTCCTTTAAAATAACAAATATTTTAAATTTATTTTATTTCTAGTGAAACTAATTTGTCCTTAGGTTCTCCATCTGCCTGCAATTTGAATAATCATGGCTTACCTAAAGGGCTTCAAAGTTTTTGTTTTATATATATATTACTTTTTTTTTTTACATCATTCTTCATTTTGTGCATTTTTTCATCTCAGTTGTAATCCCCATAGGCTTCCCACCACCAACTCACCTGTGTGCCATCACCATAGTCCCGTGCACTCTTACCCCACAAGTTCTGATCCCATTCCCCCTTTTACCCTCATAAAATGTCTGGTTTACAGTTGTTCACTGTCTTCATTTTCACTCTATTACATTTGTTTCTCTCTCTCTCTCTTTTTTTCCCCCAGGACTTCAAAGTTTTATACACATGCACACACACAGAAAACACTTCTCACCTCTATTAGTTCTATTAGAGCTACTATTGGCGCCATTACTATTAAACAATAGAACCAACTGAACACACACTACTTGAAATCCAGCACCAGTCCCTTTATTTCTGTTCTTCTTTTATCCTCACAAACCCTGGGGTGGTTTTAAATCTTATTGGAACCTTAGAGAGGTATCTTGACCTATCAGTTTCATTGATATTATTAGGAAAGTACATATATATGTGTATGTGTGTGTGTGTGTGTGTATCAAAATATTAAAATATTTTATTCTACTACAAGTAACTACTACTGAAAGGTAGGTTTCTACTAAAGATATCTACTAAATGGTAAATTTTAGTATTAAAAAAGGGTCCCAATGACACTTGATATGTGTTCTCTATATAAGAATTAAATACAAGAAAAAAAAGATGTATTTATAACTCAAGGGAAAAGATTAACATAAATTCAAACTCATAAATCAAGAGATAAAAAGTTTATCAGAAAACATCTTTTAAAATATAAAAAGTCAAGGATAAAAAAAATTACAATTTGTTTTATTAAACATTAAGAATAGGCCCTCCCTGGTGGCACAGTGGGTTAAAGCACAGCACTGAGAAGCTTAAGCAGTCACTTCCGCATGAGTTCTATGCCAGCCTTCCCCGGAGGAGATCCACATGGATCTGTTCTGTTCCCCACTCTGTCTCTGGTGAATCCTCTCACCCTCCGTATCTCTGGCCTGTACCCCAGTTCTATATGACTAAGTAAATAAATCTTAAAAAAAGAAATTAAGAATATTCTTAAAAATAAGTATACATACCACAATTTTAAGAGGTCCATATTTTTTCTCCTGAGCAGCAAGTGCATTCTTAAAAGGAGTTGGAGTTCTTGGTGTGGTACCCAATATAGATCTTCTAATAGTAGGTGTTCTAAACCTATCAAATCATTTAGATATTGGTATAGTCAAAATTTGATTTCATGAGTTATGGAAGCAAAATCATGATTAAAGTACATACTTTCTCCCCCTGCATATATATATATGCTTTATTTAAACATTACAAATATATTTAAAGAATGTCTGACAAAACATTCCAATTCTTACTCCAATCAATTATTTGAATAGTAGTAAAAAAGACTTTGTTTTTTATAGTAGGAAAAGTACTAAAAATGTTATTTTGCTTGAGTCAAAGTTTTATACTATATTTTGTTGGTTGTCAGTCTTATAGTGATAGAATAAAAGGTGATTTTTGTTGTTAATCTGGGTCCCATAGGAATTATGACCAATGTGTAAACAGACAAAAAGCTAATCTGCTCTTTAAAATGTGCTTCCCATTTTCTCTAACATAATTATTTAATACCAACTTACCCCACATTTTCCTTTTGATCTTTGGGAGTTGTTTCTTTATGAAGAGGAGTTGTAATGAGAACCTTCTGCCCACAGATAGGAGTTGATGTAAATGAAGGATTCTCTATATTAATTTGTTCATTTCCAGGACATGTGTTGAAAAACTAAAAAAGACAGTTTAAAGATATTTTATAGGCTGGCAAAATCCCTACACAATTATTAAACTGATGTTTAAAAATTATTTCCTTCCTCTTATGAAAGAATTATCAGTAATACTACATTTATATTTCACTTGATGTAAATTAAAGTCCATAAGGGAAGGAATTTTTGTTTTGTACACTGATATAAAATACAATAAAAAAATTTTTAAGGGACATTATCAAATAGGAATCTACAGAAACCACTAACAGCTGCTGTAACAAGTTTTATTATTTTATTAATAAATGATCATAAGTTCCCTTTCTATAAGAATACTTTGAATTCAAAATATCATATAATGCTATATGATAAAAATATAGCTATCTGGCAAATTTGCCTACTTATTAGAACACAGCTTGGACAAGCTTTGAGCAGTGAAAACTGGAATCAGATTCCACTTTCCAAATGACATAATTTATTCACTGGATCTTAATTTACTTTTAACTGTGAAATGCTGCTTTATTTTTGTAGCTAACAAATTAAAAGCAGTGGCAGAAAGAAGTGATAACTGCTTTAAGGTTACTTATAACTGGAATGAATTCTAACATCACTGTCTGGCTCTTGATATCTGCAATATATTTAACCCTAAATTAGCAGTCAAGCTCTTAAAACCCTGCAGAGTCCGTCATTTATAGGATAAAATCCATCGTCTCTGACATGGGAAATATAACTTACATTCTCACTTAATTTAAACCTTAGACTTTACACTTAAACAAAAATTACCAATGTGCCCACACCTGTTTCTCCTTACTGGGGTGCTTTTTAACTCTGAAGCTAGGGTGGGAGTGGGGGGCATACTAGTCACATTGTAGTCTATGTAAATGGCATCTTCTGAATTATGGGGGGGGGGTCAATTTTCAGAGAACACAGTGGTTGTATACTGCCAAATCCTACTCATCTTCCCAAAGTCAAAATAGTATCGTCTCCAATAATTGCCAGCAACCTTCAAGTTTATTTGACCATTAAATTTTCTTATCCCATAAAACTTTTAACTTGTGTCAAGACACTTTCAATAAATTCCAGTTCCATCTCTTACTAACTGTAACCTTGAACAAACCACTTAACTTTTGAATTTCATCTTACCTACTTCCTAAGGGTCTTTGAAAGAGGATTAAAAATGTTTAGCACAAACATGGAGCTTCCTTACAACCCAGCAATCCCACTCCTAGGTATCTACCCAAAAGACACAAAAACACTGATTGAAAAGGATACCTGTACCCCCATGTTTATTGCTGCTTTATTTACAATTGGAAAAACATGGAAGCAGCCCAAATGCCCAAAAGTATTTGACTGGATTAGAAAGATGTGGTACATATACACAATGGAATATTACTCAGCAACCAAAAAAGAGAAACACATGTCTTTTGCAGCAACTTGGATGGAACTGGAAAAGATCATGCTTAGTGAGATAAGCCAGAAAGAGAAAGAAAAATACCACATGGTTTCACTCATAGCAGGAGTATAATGGACCAGGTGGAAAATAACAAAAATAATGAACAACCATATACCAGAGACATTTTGTGGGGGTGGAGTGGGGAATGGGATCAAAAACGGGGTGGGAGGAGGGAAATGCACGGGATTATGGTGATGGCACATGGGTGACTTGGTGATGGGAAACCCACAGGGATTACAATTGAGATGGAAAAAAAATGTACAAAATGATGTAAAAATAAACTTTAAAAAAAAAAAGTTTAGCACACAGCCTAGAACACTGTGTTCATTAATAGACTGCCCTAATATAAATATCTGCTGCCCAGAAGCATAACTACAGGAGAAATAGGTAGTTTCAGACACCCCCAGAAAACTTCCTGATGCATGAAATCTTACAGTAAACAATTATATACAAACACATTATTCTTCTTTATATTTAGCAAACAATACACATTTAATCTATCTTATTCACATCTGGAAACATAAATAAAAACAACACTACTACCTGTGAAGGAGAAAATGGTAGTGTTTTCACCGGTGTGTGTCTTAGTGCAGTATTATTGCCATCATTGAATGAGCCATCACCAAGTTCACTGCCTGGGGATTGACCCACTCGCATTTTTCTCTTCTTTCTGAGAATGGTTGGTGGAGTGCTAAACTTGGCCACGTTTGGGGATGTTAAAGGAACAGCCTCACTGTCTGAACCATTACAACCATTTTTTTTCCCTTCAAGTACAAGACTGACGTTAAATTGACATTCCATGGTTCCTTCATTGTGTTGAATTCTCATTAGTTTAACTGGGGTGGACTTCACAGGAGAAGCAGCAGCATCAGAAAGATCAAAACTGGTAACATCACTCCATGCTACAGGATCCTGCAATAAATTATTAACTAAAGTAATTCTATCACCTCTTTAAATCTGATCTTGAATATAAGATACTATTAGTAGTTAATTATTCATTTTTATCAGAAGAAATAGACTTTCCTTGTCCATCATTTTTAAAGCAAGATTATTTGAGAAGAAAAGATTATAGTTTTACTAAAACTCCCATTTGGAACATTCCAAAATAATATTTCAACTAATTCAGTAACTAAAGCTGACTGCCCAAGTATTTTAAAAGGATCAAATTACTTTAAATAATTATCAAAGAGTACAATTTTCATATATTCCACATCTGAAAAAATGCTATTAATCTACATAATCATTTAGTAATGTGAATGAAACACCTTCAAAACAGTCATACACTTTAATCTAAAAGATTAGTTTAATATCAAGACATAATCAAGATTTTGCACAAAGCTTTATGTAATATGTTTTGTAATTTGCAAAACTGAAAAACTGTACACCACCTATGTGTCCAATAATAACTATACATTGGATATTTTGTTACTTTCATATCATAGAATACTATGAAACCACTGAAAACTTAAAACAAGAAAACAGACATGCTCATGATGTAATGTAGGGGAAAAAGTCTATAAGCAATGCATAAATGTATATTGGGTTTTAAAATATAGGCATACAAGATATGCAAACAACCTAAATGCCCCAGAACAGATGAGTGGACATACATACATACACACACACACACGCAGATCAAAAAAGACAAACTCATGCCATTTTTATGAACATGGATGGGATGGAAGGGATTATTCTAAGTGAAGTGAACTAAATGGAGAAAGATAAATAATAGTTTCATTTATATGTGTAATCTAAAGAAATCAAAGAATCAAAGACAAAGACCCACCTCTGAAAGCATATGGTAGATCTGAGACATTTAGGAGGGGAGTTGGGAAGAGAAGGAGGAGAATAGAAAACAAAGGAGAGGGGAGCACAGTGGAATATAGTGGAGGACTCTGAGTTCTTTAGTGGTAGAAAAACTATGGTAATCACACCTGAGGGGAGAAGCCCTATATTGTGAAAAAATAAACAAGGATGTTTAAAAAATAAAAATAAGTTAATTAAAATATAGACATATATTTGTGTTTCATATGTACAGAACACAGCCTAAAAGGAAATACATATAATTATTAACTCTAGGTTTATGAAGGATTTTAATTTTCTCCTTTACAGTTTTCTCTAGTTTCCAACCCTCTCTAACATAGTTGTGATTATGATTTATGTAATAAAAAAATGACTTGTTAAAATTTTAATTTTTAAAAATCTGTACAAGGTTAAAAAAAAATACAAGGTATAAAACTGAGAAGGAATATTAAAAAAAAAAACTTTTTCCAGAAGTCACTGCAAACAGCAGAACAAAAGCAAGCATGGTATGCAAAATGATGCTAACCATAAAATTGGTCAGTGTCCACTAAAATTTATGAACATGAAACCATGTCACTAAGATTGTGTTTTTGATAATTGCAATTTCAAACTTACAGATTCAATAAGTTCTAGAGTCTCTGCAAATTCTGGGATGGTCTGTAGAGAGGACAGCACAGCATTTGCCTCTACGGCCAGGAACTTTGTGGGTGAATTCTGCTGAGCAGACACAGTCTGATTTTCATCCATACTGTAAAACTCACTAGTGTGCTCCTCGAGGCTATTTAGAGTATTAGACATGCTATCATCCATGAGGAAACTACCAGACCAGCTAGAAAAGCTTCCAGGCTGCTAAAAGTACAAAAGAAATTTGAGTATTATTTTGTCATTCTGAATCTAAGCAAAAATTTGGATTTTTAAGTAGGAGTTTTTTCCTAGAACAACATATTTCACAATATATCAGCTAAAAATATAGTGACAAATATACGGTCTTTTGTAAAATTGATATAAATGTTTTTAATTTAACATATCTTAACCATACTTCTTTTTTTCTAATTAAAACTTTTTTCTAACAATCTATAAAGACATGGTGAGATAAAACAAACATGTACATACAATATAAACTATAAACTCCTTGAATCTGGCCTCTTTCTAGCTTTTAAACTTCATCTTTCAACATTTCCACTCAAATGCCCTCTTCGTATTATAATACTTACAATTCTCTGATGAATTAATCTTTGACTGTAGGGTACAAGTACTGCTATTCCCTATCTAATAGGCCCCTCACCACTATCCAATGACTAGGGAAACTCCCAAGATACAATTCAATATTAGAAAATATTCCACCTGATTATATACTTTCACCTGTTCCATTTATAATAATGTCCTAATTTATCTACTGTGCTAATATGCAATCATATCCTATCTTTTTAAATGTGAGTGCAAATAGAGGACTTCTTCCATAGACAACTCTCTTATGTACTCCCAAATAACTGTGACATAGTTTATCACATTACATCCTGTTTCTTGTCTATGTCCCCACTGCATAGTAAATTCTCCAAAGTCAGGGACTATAACAGATGTACACCAAGCAATTTACTTAACTTCCTAGTATAAGGGAAAAATTTTTTTTCCTTTTTCTGTTTTTGTTATTATATAAGATGACAGATACAACCGCAGTAAAATTTCACAACATAGATCTATCGAGTAACTGTACTGTATACCCTAAACTTATACAGTAATATATATTAATTATTCAGAAAAAGAAACAATATGTAAACATACAGGGTATTCAAAAGATCTTTCTAAAGTGATAAAAATGTTTTACAAATAAATCTTCTCAACATGGGGCCATAAGTATATGAGCAATCAAATTGGGAATTGAATTTTAAAATTTTATTTTAAATTAAATGTGGTTAGTAGCTACCAAAATGTAAAAAAGCATATTTCCCATTCCATAGGAAGCTTTTAGTATATGGTATCTATTACTATTAAAAAAAAATCAAAATTGCTAGAATGTGCCAGAGATTCATAATAACAAAATACTACATTTCAAGTTAAGGTGGAAAGTTTTCAACATTATTGCAAAACAAATCCCACATAATTGAAAGATTCCTAAAAATAAATTAAAGCAACCTTATATAATAAGCACAGTCATCTTCTGAATTTACAATCCTCTCAAATTATGTGTATTTTCCCCCAAAATTACATGTAATTCAACTGAACTTGCAGGTGGGAAAAAGATTTAAAGAGAGAAGTTACAGGACCTACTGGAAAAAATATAGGGCTGCAATCAATACACATCAAAATCTGGATCCCTAATAATAAACCAGGAGCTAAAACAGAGTAAATACAAGAATAACTAAGAATACATATAAAAAACCTACAATAAAGGAACATAATGAATACTCAATAAAACAGCAATTACTGTTCTCATATAATTGTTCAGAGTAAACTTTATATATGCATGGAGCCTATTCTACCCTAGGCAACAACTTCACTAGATTCTCCAATCTCTTTATTCAACCAGATATTGATAAGCATTGATTTTAGAAGGTTAAAAAAAAATTATTAACATTCTCCCTTTTGAAAGCAGTGTCCATTCATCTATCATAGTGTTCTGAACTGAGGTAGAATGATTAACATTTTTCCTAATTTTATGCTCCTAATTATTCTCATCAACCCAATCTCAGGCAGTAATTTTCAAATATGGTTACCAAAGGCCAACATCAAAATGGAAATTTCTTTAGAAAACATAACATCTAAATGTCCCCTTTTACCATACTGTTATTAATTTTTTCCCAATTTACTGAATTCGTATTCTAAACATAGTAAATAGGAAAAATTTTCAAAGACAACAAAAGTAATTTTGGAGCACATAAATCTATACTCAGCTAGTAAATCCTTTCTCAAACTTCATTTTTCCTATTAAAAGTATTACTACATAAAATGTCAAAAAAAAAAGCCAAAGCCTAATCTAATCTAAACCAACACATAATTTTCAAAATATATATATAAAAGACTATACCTTAAGTGATTTGACATTTATGATTCAAGAAGCATCTTAATACAGGATGTTGTAAAATGTGTTCAGAGTTGCCAACCCAGCAACCTCATATTTGCAAATCAGAAACCATTTTCAGTCTATATTAAATCTGAAGTTATATTGAATACACTTTCCACTTGTCAACTTAAAAGCCAATGTCGATGAAAACAATAAAACCATATAAAGCACACAACAGCAAAATCTAAACATTTAAACTTATTTCTTACTGATGGAACTCGCTTTCTTCTGACTTCATTCTCTGCTGACATAAGAAGCAATTCAAGTTCCTTTATTTTTTTTTCTTTATCAGGATCTTCATCAACAAAGGGCTGCTAAAATAAGTTAAATAGAAAGACAAAAAAGGAGGCTACTTACTTAGCTATTTAACTAACGCTATTCAGTAATTAGCATTTTTATTTTTTATTTTTATTCTATGTAAATAAAATCTTTTTCTTTCTCTAATAAAATTTAACACTGCTAAATCCCAAATATGCACTGATACAATTCTTGTTATCTAGTGAGCTACTGGTAAATATTTTCAATTTAAAAGAAAAGATTTGGAAAATTTAAATATATTTTTAAAAAACTTATATTGTTATTTTTGGAGAATGTTTTAATTTATTAAAACTTAACACATATATATTCTCTCCAAGTTAGCAAAAATGTGTCCATTTACAATATGAATACTTTATTTTTTTTAAAGATTTATTTATTTATGCATACAGAATTGGGATACAGGCCAGAGGTCCAGGGACAATGAGAGGATTCACCAGAGACAAAGTGGGGAGCAGAACAGGCAGATCGATGAAGTACACTGCTGAGGAGGCGCAGTGGTCGGGTCAGGAAAGGTCTGCTCACCATGTGGATCATCTCCAGGGCTGGGGATGAACTCACACTGAGGCTACCACCAGCTTTCAGTGCTGCATCCTTACCCATTGCGCCATTCGGGAGGGCCCACAATATGAATACTTCAAATTAGAAGAATAAAAAAACTACCTCACTAGTGCTCTCAACTATGTTACATTTGAGTATGTTTCTCAAACCCATTTATAAGCTTTTTCCTTTAAGGTTATAATAGGCAAAATAAATAGATATTATTTACCTACTTCAAGTATCTATTTAGATAATATTCAGAGAGAATTATTTTGTACTAGATTTGCTTTATAAATGAGGGAAGAGGCATAGATTTTCAAAAATATGTTTGAAAGCATTTTTAGGGGTAAAGAGAAACTATAAATTAAAAATTACCTGAATAAAAGCAGAAGTCTGAACATGTTCTACACAATTGCCTTCAGATGACACATACTGGTAACCAGGGATCTAAAGATTAAAACATTAGCATCATAACATGTAATATTATATATTTGTTTTACTCTGAGAGAACACAAAAAGTCTTACCAAAATAGCACCATTAAAAACTCAGAAAACATCTTATGAACTTTTAAAGTGTACACCTATTATATTTTGTAGCTGCACCTTTCTTAGAATTTTTTTTTGAATTTACTTTAATTTTTTTTTTGAATTTATTTTTTTTTGAATTTTTTTTTTGATTAAAAATTGTAACATTTACAAAAGACCTATCTAATCCTAGATAAAATAAGAAAATTACTTGACCTAGATTTATTAGTCAATCAATCTTTCTACTACCTACAACATCACAAAATATGTCTACTATCAACTATTAGACAGGTTGTTCTATCTACTATCTTTTAGAGAAAGAATGATCCATATAAAGCACTCAAAAAGAAGTGTTTCAATTTCTTATTTTCAACTCCTACCACACTAATCTACTATCTCTGGGTTGAAAGATATGAAAGCAGAAGCTTCTTGTTATTTGTCTTAGAAAAATCAACTTTTCAAAAATTAATAAATAAGGTAACCAATTCTTAAAGTATAAGAAGTAACCTTGCATTTCCAACATACTTTGATTGAGATCATAAAAACACTGTCCTGGCCCAATAAGTTTTTAAAATTATCTTTCTATGAGTTATTAAAAAATAAATTTAAATAACCTTTTCAAGGTAGAAGCAGAATGTTTTAATTTATGCTGCTGAAATCTAAGACTCTAAAAAAAACATGTAAAGAAACACAATAAAAACTTTAAGGTATTATATATTATGTCTTCACATGTTTTCTATCTAGTTTGTAAATTAAAATGCCGTAATGTTTTTAAAGTGGTTCTTTTAAAATAATGTCTAAAAAATAATGCCCATCAATGAATTAAAATAGAATCTGAAGATTTACTAACACAGATTTTTAACACTTAGTCAAATTTATCTTTTGGAAGATACTATCAAATCTTGACTTACTCTTGACATTTTATGTGACAAGAACCAAGAAACACTCATGAAAAATGGCATCACACAGATAAGCAGGAAAATATATAACAAACCTTCTAAAAACTCTTAAAGCTAATTTATTTTCAGTAGGAAAATTCACTTTAAGGGAAGTAAACTTGCCCTATTCTGAACTTAGGTAATCTCTACTCTAAAGAGCCTAGCAAAGACTGAAGTCACTCTACTAATTGGTTTTAGAAGGAAAAGCAAAACTAAATGCCAAGCACCAACTAATTATCATACTTTTAAAAATGATGGCTTGAATAATTATTTACTATTTTCTCCTTTAAACCATTTTATGTACACTTAGATTTTAAAAACAGGTAATACTGCAAATTAAACAAAACTTTTAAAAAAGAAAATAAGAGATTGTAATACACAGAAGACCAATTAGTTTTTAAACATAAATGAAGATGCAAAGAGTGATAGTATGGAGGTACACATACTTTCTTAACTAATGTAAAGATTATGAAAGGAAACATTTTAATGAGTTAGTTTCCAAAGTATTTAACAATCAAAAAAAATAGACATAAACCTCAACTAATAGTTTAGTTGTTAGTTATAGCCTGTTTCAATTTGGAAATTTAAGTCTATACCCCTTAATATATGTTGCATTTATCCTATTCAGAAACCAAGCAAACACCTTTCCATATAGAAACTGAAGAAAATTTTAAAATAATAAAGATATTAAAAAAATATGTGCCTGAACAGGTATGTAAAATTGATTCTGGGTTTGCAAATGGTCCATAGTCGCACAAGGTTTGTGTTGAAGTTTAGTTGAAGATCGTTCTGATTTTATTCCATCTTGTAAGTAACCCTCCTGTTCTACTTTTCTTCGCATAGTAGAATTCCAGTGATTTTTGATAGAATTATCAGTCCTAAGAAGTAAAAGGATATATAATTTTAAAAGACAGTATACAAAGTAATTAAAGCATTTTAAAAACTGGTAAAATTAGACCTTTTTTTCTTCCTTTTTAATAATGTAATAGTTTATTTTTACATCATTTTGTGGCTTTTCCCATCTCTGTTGTAATCCCCATGGACTTCCCATCACCAAATCACCCGTGTGCCATCACCATAGTCCAGCACACTTCCCTCCCCCACCATTCTTGACCCCATTCCCCAGTCCACCCCCATAAAATGTCTCTGGTATGTATTGTTCATCATCATTATTATTATTTTCTCCCCTGGCCCTTAATACTCCTGCTATGAATGAAACCATCCGGTATTTTAGACTATTAGGAAATATTTAAACCAGTGCAATGCACAGTATACTTAGCATATCTCTACTGAGGGGGAAGTTTTTTCAGCCACGTGGATAGATCCACTACTCCATGATTTGATCATACCACAATTAATTAAGAATTGAATTTTCTGTAATCACTTTCTTAGCAGTTTGTTTGAATGAGTGTATTTGTTATTTTCTGATGTTGTGCGTAAAATCCAAAACAAAGTAAACCTGGTCAATTTAGATTCCATTTCAATCAACCGTGTACAAAGATATTCACAACTGGCTTTGAGATATAAACATGATTTTGGGAGTGTATTAAATGTTCATATAATTTAAAGGTCCACCATTTTATTGATTAAGTTGTTGCTATAAAATATCGCATTTAAGGCCCTCCCTGGTGGCACAGCGGGTTAAAGCACAGCACTGAGAATCTAAAGCCGCTTCCGCATGAGTTCGATTTCCGCCTGCCCCGGAGGTGACCACATGGCGTGGCAGACCTCTCCTGACCCGCCCGCTGCTCCCCTCAGCAGTGTACTTCGTCGATCTGCCTGTTCTGCTCCCCGCTCTGTCTCTGGTGAATCCTCTCACGCTCCGCATCTCTGGCCTGTACCCCAGTTCTGTATGAATAAATAAATAAATCTTTAAAAAAAAAAAATATCGCATTTAAAAAATAATTCTAGGGGCCCTCCCTGGTGGCGCAGCTGGTTAAAGCACAACACAAAGAAGCTTAAGCCACTTCCTCATGAGTTCGATCCCCGCCTGCCCGGGAAGGTGACCACATGGCGTGGCAGACCTCTCCTGACCCGCCCGCTGCTCCCCTCAGCAGTGTACTTCATCGATCTGCCTGTTCTGCTCCCCGCTCTGTCTCTGGTGAAGCCTCTCACCGCCCCTGAGCCTCTGGCCTGTACCCCAGTTCTGTATGCACAAAATAAAAATAAATCTTTAAAAATAATAATAATAATAATTCTAGGCCCTCCCTGTTGGCACAGCGGATTAAAGCACAGCACTAAGAAGCTAAAGCCACTCCAGCATGTGTTCTATCCGTGTCCCAGGATGTGACCACATGGCGTGGCAGATCTCTCCTGACCCGCCTGCTGCTCCCCTCAGCAGTGTGCTTCGTTGGTCTGCCTGTTCTACTCCCCACACTGTCTCTTGTGAATTCTCTCACCGCCCCTGCACCTCTGGCCTGTACCCCAGTTCTGTATGCATAAATTAATAAATATTAAAAAAAAAAGTAATTCTATCCCTCACCTCATAGTTTATTACAAATAGTAACAATGGGTTGCTGGTATTATGCAGTCTAAAATTTAACAGGGTACTTGTAAATATATTTAATAGTGACATAGTAATGATCAAGATTAAGTACAGAAAAACATATATACATTTATATAAGCACCTTCCAGGTAGTAGTTTGGCAATTTCTGCCCAACGATTTCCCAATCTCTTATGTGCTTCATAGATGATCCTATCCTCCTCTTCAGTCCAGGAAGATTTCTTTACCTCAGGATTCAGATGATTATGCCATCGTTCTCTACACTGCTTGCCTATTCTTCCCTTTAAATGTTTTGCAATTAAAGACCATCTTTTAGGGCCATATTTCTGAACTAATTCAATAACCTAAGAAACAGAAAACAAAGTTTAAAAATGCATTACCTTAATATACAAATATCAAATCATTATGTTGTATAGGTGAAACTAAAGATATTATAGCTCAATTTTTAAAAAAGTGTTACCTTAACAGAATTTTAAAAGATAAACTCAAGATATTACTTTTTATATTATCTTAGTAGTCTCTCTTAGTTCTATAGAAAATTACTGTTTATGTAGATGATAATTTCAGATCTCCTTATAAAATCACAAATCATGTGCTGACTGTTTGATTTCCAGTCCCATTTCCTGTCACTAAGATACTACTTTTTAAAGATGTATTAAATTCAATCCACAAGTTAATAAAACTTAATTAAAAAAATCTAATATTACCTCAACATTCGCCAAGTTCAAAAACTGATCCCAGATTTATCTAAAATACAAGATGCTAATTAAAGTGACTTGTAAGTTTAGTTTTCATAATTTAAAATAACAGTAAAACTGTTGAGATTTATCCATTTTCTTTTTCTTTTTTTTTTTTTTTTAAAGCTTCAGCTAAAAGCCAAATAAATGGAAGCAGGAAGGATATAGAGTTACTATCTTTATGTTTCTCCCTTTCTCAGACTGAAAAGATATAGATTAAATATTTCAAAAGTTTTCATTTTCCTTCAAGATTAGATCAAATGTGAACCTAGTGAAAGCAACTTGTTTGCTTTGAATAGTTGTAAGAATGTTCTAATTCCCCTAATATTAACAAGTTTTATGTTAAATAAGGGCATGAACTAAAAGGCAATTCCTAATGGAGGCCAGAAGCTCTCCCATTCTCAGATTTTATAACACAAAGAATTATCTTGATTTTTAAGTCACCTAACCCCTTAGGTACAGCTACTTTGGTATCTTATTTGGGGGTTCATAATAGGTCATGAGAAAAGTTAAGAATACTGTCAGTATGTATAATATTATCAAATAAAAACACTAAATTCTGTTTTCCAAATGTTAGCTCAATTTCCAATAAAAAAACTATATCTAAGCTATAAACAAGATAACTAGATAAATAATATTTTTTCCATGCAAAAAACTCTCAGAAATAAAAGATCATATATATAATACTTGGTTTTAACAACTGAGAAAAAAAAATTCAAGATACTAAACTTTCAATTGTTATACAAGCAGTAATAGTAAGAGAATAAAAACAAAGTGATTTAAACATGTTTTATGAGTCAAAACAATGTATTAGGAGAAATCCAAATTCGAAAGAAATGAAACTGCCTCTCTTTGCAGATGATGTGTTAATATACTGATAATCCTATAGTTTTTTAATTCTATTAAAAAACTCTGAATTAATCAACAAACTTAAGTTGCAGAATACAAAATCAGTATACAAAAATATGGTGGATTTTATGTACTGATGACTATCAGAAAGCGATATTAAGAAGACAATCCTACTTATAAGTGCATTAAAAAGAATAAAATACCCAGGGAGAAATTTAACAAAGGAAGTAACAGATGTGTACACTGAAAATTACAAGACATTAATGAAAGAAATTAAAGAAAATACAAATAAATGAAGTCATATGCTCATGAATTAGAAGAAATGTTAAATTGTACATATTACTACCCAAAGCAATCCTACAGATTCAATGCAATCCCTATCAAAATTCAATGACATTTTTTCATAAAAGTAGAGCACTCCTAAAATGTGCATGGAACCCCATGCTATTTGGGAAAATCCCAAATAGCAATCTTGAGAAAGATATACAATACTGAAAGCATCACAAACTCTGATTTCAAACTTTATTTCAAAGCTATAGTAATTCAGCAGTATGAAACTTATGTAAAAATGAACACATAGGGGCCTCTTGGCGGTATAAGGGTTAGTCTCAGCACTATCGTGCTATCACCACTGCAGGCTGAGTTCAATTCCCAGTCAGGGAGCTAACTCGCATGGCTCAGCAGAGCTCTCTATCTTGCCAATTGCTCTGCTCAGCAGTGCTTTTCAGTAGGTAGGCCTGTTATGCTCCTTGCTCTCACCTCCTGTTTCCCTGGCCTAAGTCCCAGTTCTTCTATGCTTGCATAAATGAATGAATGAATCTTTAACAAAAATAAAAACATTAAAAAAGTAAAAATGAACACCAGATAGAAAGCCCAGAAATAAACCTAAGCTTATATGGTCAGCTAATTTATGACAAAGGGATCAAGAATGGAAAAAGGGCAGTATCTTCAATAAAGATGCTGGGAAGACGAGACAGTCAACCTGCAATGAAAATGGACCACAATCTTACCTCATGAACAAAAATTGACTCAAAATCAAGTGAATACTTGAATGAAAGATCTGAAATCACCATAAAAATTCTAGAACAAAACTAGGCAATAAGCTCCTTAATAGCAATGATTTCATGGATCTTATAACCAAAAGCACAAGCAACAAAAGCAAAAATATACAAATAGGACTTCATCAAACTAAAACGCTTCTACACAGCAAAGGAAACCATAAACAAAACAAAATGGCAACTTACTGAATGAGAGAAAGTATCTACTAATCATTCATCTGATAAGGGTTAATATCCAAATAATACAGAACTCATACAACTCAAAAGCAAACAAAAAATATGATTTAAAAAATGGGCAGATGATCTGAATATTCTTCCAAAGATATACAGATGGCCAATAGGTACATGAAAAGATGGTCAGTATCACTAATCACCAAAGAAATGCAAATCACAATCGCAATGAGGTATTAACTCCCACTTATTAGAATGGTGATTATCAAACACAAAAAATAACAATTGTTGGTGAGGATGTGGACAAAAGATAAACAGTGTATACTGTTTATGGGAATGTGAATTGGCACAGCCACTATGGCAAAACAAAATGGAGCTTCTCCAGAAAATTAAAACTAGAACTACTGTATGATCCAACAACTCCACTTTTAGATATTTGTCAAAAGAAAACAAAACACTAAGTTGAAAGATACCTGCACCCTCATGTTTAATGCAGCATTATTTACAATAGCTAAATACATGGATACAACCTAAGTGTCCATCAAAGGATAAATAAAGGAGAACATAATTACATATCTATGTAATATATGTGTATATACACATATATATACATATATTGAGTATTCAGTCACAAAAAAGCTGAAATCTTGTCATTTGTGATAATATAGAGAGATCTAGAGGTATTATGCTAAGTAAAATAGACTAGAGAAAGACATACTGTATGATCTCAGTTATACATGAAATATGAAAACAAAAGCTAAGTTAATAGATATAGAGAATAGACTTGTTTGTGGCCAGAGGCAGGGTATATAAAAGGCGAGTAAAATGGAGAAAGGGGTCAAAAAGTACAAATTTCCAGTCATAAAATAAGTAAGTCAGTCATGGAGATGCAATGTACAGCACGGCAATTACAGGTAAGAATTCTATATTATGTATTTGAAAGTTGCTGAGAAAGTAAAATTTAAAATTTCTCATCACAAGAAAAAAAATATTTATAACTAAGTCCGGCGATGAAATGTTCTTAGAGTGATCATTCTGCAAAACATACAAGTTTCAAATCTATATGCTGAAATTAGCATAATATGTTATATTTCAATTACATTTCAATAAAGGAAAAAAAGTATTAGGAAGAAAAAAGCTAGTCTACCTACACAATGAAAATAAAGTATAGGAACATGTTACCCTCTGATCTTCTTCTTTAGTCCAGGGACCCTTTATCAATTCTGGATTTAAAACCTTCTGCCATCGATGCTGGCACTGAAAATCAGAACGATTCTGAAAGAATTTAGATGATTTTTTGTTACCAGAAAAAGCAAGCCAACCAAAGCTTATATCTTATAATCTTAAGAACAAAGTCTTCAAAAATAATGAATCCAATAACATTTTTTATATTTGTTTTATTTTACATGTCTGTTATTTTTTTAAATTAGTCATTGGCATGCTTTAAAACAATATATATTTGAGATTAAAGTACATATCTATATACTAAACCTTACAACACAGCAAGCAGCAAAGCAATACAGATTCTGCCATAAACAAATATATCTAACATTAAGGGACAGAGAGATTAAGCAGAAAGGTTTACAAGTCAGACATAAGAAATCAAAGAAATGAATAGCCTGGATTAATATAGTGCAGTGACATGTAACCCTATACAATTCAAAAAGCCCTAATGGCATTACTAGACCACTATCATGGTAGTTAAAGGATGTTCACAAATGATGACCCTCAAGAAAAAACAATATATTGATATATATATATATGTGTGTATGTGTATATATATGTATATATATACACGTATATATATAGAAGATGTGTATATTTATCCGTTAAACTCAAGAGACATAAACTTAAAACAAGTAAACTTAAGAGAAAAATGAACTTATCAGGATGAGAAAATCTTATGTAGAAACATCTCAAACTCAAAAGTGATTAATAAATGAAGCTTTATTTTAGTCAATTCATAGCCTAGTAATTTCTATGTAATACAAGCTTGATGGTAGTGATACTTATTCATTAGTTATTATAAAGCTAGTTAAGAAGATCAAAAATAGTTTATGAAGATATGAAGGGATAAATAAAGTGGTTTGTATACCAATTTCTCTTTGTTACCTAGTGGACCTCAAATAATTTTTTTTCACATTAAGAATCTTCCTTTATGGCTTTTATGTAATAATGCTGATCCAATTATCATGTTCTTTGAAATAATCAGGTGTTCCTAAGTTCACATTATTTGTTATTTTAACACTGAAACTGAGCTAATACAACTAATATAAATAACTTCCCTAATTTAACTTCCTTTTACTAAACACCTACTCAGTGTCAGGAACTGTATCAAATATCTTTGATGTAACTTAGAATTACATCAAACACCTTTTTACTAAACACCTACTCAGTGTCAGGAACTGTATCAAATATCTTTGATGTAACTTAGAATTACATCAAACACCTTTTTACTAAACACCTACTCAGTGTCAGGAACTGTATCAAATATCTTTGGTGTAATTTAGAATTCACTGAAAATTACAGAAAACAAGTATGATAATTTACATATTATAAAGGGACCAGACAGTAGAGCTAACATTTGAACACAATTCAGACTTTCTCTGAAATGTACAGTCTTGTCTTTATTTGGTCTCAGTTTTCAAGTTATGAATCATGACTATATAAAGAACATAGATAACATGGCTTCTGAAACTCAACATAATTAATACTGAAATTCAAACATGATTATTCTGTCCCAGTATCTACATTGCAGAAAGAACAGGTAAAGTATATGTGAATATACACTATAGATGATCAGATTACACACTTGAAAGTAAGCAGCATAGTGAGTGGTATTATTTTTTTAAATCAATAACACATTAAAATGTAAGCACTGTAAGACAAATATTCCAACAGATCTTTATTTTATTTATTAGCTATTAAAGTATTTTAGTATATGCCATATCCCTTAAAAAATGTTATTTATCAATAAATATTTATAAAGCTCTATCCAACTTTAATATCATTTTTGTTTTACAATAATACTTTTAGGTTTCTAGATAAACTATTTACTAGAAAATGATACTCTAAGCCATTGGCAACTACATGAGGACCAGAACAGGTTTTAGGAAGAAATTTAAATCTAAAGTAATGTAAACACAATTTTAAAAAACAGGAAATTAACCCAATGGCCTAAATCTTCCATGCCAAAATATTAAAATATTTCACTTACTTGAAGATGACTAGCAATTAGAGTCCAATCATCAGTTCCATGTTGTTCAACCAACTTCTTTAACTTATCATCCTATTAAAACAGGTATGAAAATTAAAAAAGCTCTCCCTCACCCTAGACCTGTGTCCCTGAATATAGACAAGTCTCCAATTGTTCCATTTCATATTTGGTGACCATTTTTAGGACTGAAGTCATCATAATAACAGTTCTCTCATTTACTATACAGTTTCTGTCAGACCCTACATCAATCTACTATTCATGTCTGAAGAAAAATAATGTGCAAGTCATTTGATGGATTACTTTTCTCATGTTTTGTTTTTAAATATTTCTTATTTATAATGTTCTTAATCAATAAATGCAAGTGTGGATTAGTAAACCTTATTATATAATTACCTCATCTCTTGTCCATTTTACTCTATTCCAGAGTTTCTTCAGTCCTTTTTGTTGTGGCACTTCATAATCATGATCAGCATACTGAAGGTCATCATCCTCATCCTCACTTAAAAAATAAACACAACTGTGAAATCAAGAATCTTATCTAGATTTGTGAATTTAATCATAATACAACTGAAGAAGCCACTCAGACTTAAAGATATATTCAAAGAGATTATTCAAAAGATAAAATAATTAAGTCACACAATGAAGAGTTATTCTTACCAACTCAGGAAGATGAGGCTAAATATGCCACCAAGGGCCACGTGAAAACCTTTATACCACACTAAGGACCTTGGCACTTATCTTTGACCTTTATCATGATGAGCTAAATGAATTTAAAAAAAATTAAAGGAGTAAAAGACAAGCATTTTGTGTGGAGAAATGGAGCAAGGAAGGCCATTTAGTAATTGTTCACAAAAATCCAAGTAAGAATTTATTAGAGCCGGACAAGGGTAATAGCAAAAATACAATACACAGTCAGTTAAATGAACAGAAGAAATGATTTGTTAACAATACTACAAAAAAAAAAGTTAAAGTTAAGATATGTAGAAATAATCTGAACATACCTCCAAGTGGTTACAGAATAAAAAGAAGCAACATTTGTGGAAACAATATTTAGTAAAGAGGGGTTCTGTGAGCTGCCTGCTTCACATTATCTTACCTTTCCTAGAACTATTCCCACCACTTCCTACACCCCAAAGATTCTTCAGTTACGCTTTTCACAGGCTCCCTACTTTTCTTCCCTCCCTTCAGTTCCCAACAGCTTCCACAACAGCATCTTTAAGATTACTTTAAAAATTATTTATAGATCAAAAAAATTTGAATTTTGGGAGCTGGCTATATAGAGTACTCAGAAAAATACCTGTATCATAATCTAATATATATGAAATTCACCTTAAGGTTCTCATCAAAATATTTTAAGAATATGAATCTAAATATGTTACTTTGGTCAAAAGGCTAGTTTCCAAGGTGTAATTTTCCTGAAAACCTATTCATCTTAACTTTAAAACCAGCCTCATTTTTAAACCACCTACTTGATTTGTGAGGAATTTCTATTTCTGCATGAGGTTTCATTTTGTTTTGCAGCAATAGTCATCAGTTTCAGAGTGATATATCCAGTCAGTGTTCAGAATGCTAGGTTTTAACTGGGTAAATGTAAGGGAGGATTAAAGTAGATTCTTAGAATCATCTCTCTACCACTGGGACTTTCCTAGAATCTACCTACCTAACTACTTTACCATCAAATTACATTAACTGTTTTATTAAAAAGATGATGTAACTTTTATATAAAAGATTAAGATCCTACAAAATGATCAATATCTCCAGCTACAACAATCACCAATTAACTTTAATTTTCCCAGAAAAAAAGGAAAAGGATAAAACCTCAAAAGAAAGGTCAGCAATGTTCCACTTTAATCTTTAAACAATGTAAAAGTCTCATTACTTAATGAGACTACAATACTACTTCTGTATTGTAGTAATCAATGTTAGTAATATATACTAGTTAAGTAAAAGCAATTTCCTCCTCTAAAGATAGACATTTCTAGCCTAGAGTGACTAATTTAGAAGAAAGCAAAAATATGTCAAATTATTTTTCCAATCACAAAGCAAAAACAGAAGAGGTATTTGATCTCTAAATCTGCAATCAAGATAGGACTTCCAGAAACCAGTTTTAAATCAAAGTAAAATATATTCTACAATTTCCTAATAGTAAGTACTGTATTCAAATGGAGTTTTGTAGATTATGAATGAAAAAAATGATTAGAGTGAATATGAAACAGCAAAGTACACACACACATACACTATACACACATACACGCACAAATACCATGACTCATTAGGCCAGAGAAATGGTTAAGAAACTTTGGGGTGTAAGCTAAATAGGAAGTGACAGTCATAACTTTTCCTGTGAAATAACATACAAGCTACTCACACTTGACAACATTAAGACACTGGGGGAAAGTTCAGTTTCAAAGAACACCAGAAATACCATATAAATGGAGTAAAAGGTAGTCACAGTAGAAATTAGAGAATTTTAAAAATTTATTTTTATTTGAAAAGAGGCTACCAATTTGAAATAAGTATTAATAGGTTCATAAAATCTATTAATTAAAGCAGTTTTATAAAATCAATCATCTTGATCACATTTTAAATCACAAACCCATAAATTCTAAAATCTTTATAGTAACCAAAAAATATATCTTCATTAAATTGTCTTGCCAGGATACTTAAGCCAAACTGAATTCAAAGGTGAAAATTTCCCAAGTTCATTTAATAAAGTGAAATCAGGCCACCCAGTGGTTAATATGATGTACTGCATACAAGACAATTTCGTTTCCTATTCTGGCCTGCAAACTAAGCATTATTATAGTAACATAAATTTGACTTTTTAAAAACCATTATAAATAGCCAATATTTAAATAAATACTGAAGGAAGTTCTACCTAACTACCTATAAATTTTTAAAAATGCAAGAAATATAGATTTTATTCTATTACGTGTGTGTGTTTCTTTTTAAATGAGAAAAGTTGACTGACTACTGAAGGGTCCAAAATAGGATATATATTAAAGCGAAAAATTACCTTATTGACCATAAAATCCTTCTGTATTAACATAGAGAAAGCTGAAATATAATTTTTTTCTGCTTTGCTTTCTCAAAAAATTAATCCTAAATGACATTTAAAAAGTTCTCATATTTCAGTAACACCCATTTTATTTGAAGCAATTAAATTAAAATTGCCTCATACACACACACACACACTACTGAAAAAGAGCTTCTAATTTCAAAATCTGATTTTTAATCTTTTTTTTTTTTAGTACTGTCACAGGTTATCTCAAAGTGAGATACCTAAATCTATTACTACTTAGATAGCATTCCTAATTTCTAAATGGTATCTATAAAGTTTGTTTCTAATGGCAGAACTAGCTTTTGAAAACTACCTTTACTATTGATTACATAAATGTTTAAAAATCAAATACATGTTAAGGACAGATACACCACTTTTAGTATTGCCTGGAAGTTATTTAATTAAAACCCCTAGTGGGAACTAAAACAATTTAAAGTCACAACCCTAAATGAGACTTTATTTAATTCTAGATCAGATACTACAGTTATCTTAAAGATCCAAAAAGTTCATTAACATCTATCAGCTGTTTCATACCTGAAGTAACAGTTTTTTTACTTTTCTTTTCAGATCATACAGAAAATAGTACAGGATTTATGCCTGTGGCCTTATGCAAAACTTTTCTACAGCATAGCCTGGTTTTCATGCAAATACTTAAATAGTTGTATAGTGATCTTAAACTGATTTATTTCCTTTTTCTTTCATCTATGACTATTATTCTATAATTAAAATATTGAGCCAAAGGTCTGAAATTATTCTATAATTAAAATATTGAGCCAAAGGACTTTGCCAAAAAAATTTCTCTCTTCAAAACATTTCAGATTCTATTATCTTCTAAAATAAATAAGTCATATTTACATACACAACAAATACTAACAAAGAGTATGAAACACATTCAAGAATGCAAGACCCTAGGAAATAGAGCATTCAGATATTTTTCACTACTTCCTCTAGAACTTCATCCCACCATGTTTACTTATTCTAGACTTCAGACTCTAAATCATTCTATAATACACATTTCAATTAATTTAGATAGCTGACAAGGAATAAGTCAACAGTATAATTAATGCTTAGATCTGAAAGTTCACAGCAATGTTAATAAAAGAAAATAACATGTAAGCAAATTCATCATTAAATCATTTCTTCTTCTTAGTCTATTACAATGCAGCATACACAAATTATGACAGGAAACCATTTGGAGAAGACAAGATTCTGGTATTCAAGCATCCATGTCTAATCATAACTAAATGCTGATGACAGCATTAGCCAAGAAACTGTCTTAAGATAAACATCAATAAAATAGATCATGCCCTACATTGAGCACAAATTTGTTACTGAATTGATATATTTGTCACCTTGCTTAATGCAATTATTATTTTTTTTATTTTGTGTATTTGAAAATTCTACAGAAAAAAACCTTGGCAATTAGAACTACACCAGCTTTTAGCATCTACCAATCCTGAAAATTGAGAGGTTATTTGGGGTCTTGATGGTGAGAACAGTGATCCTCACCTGGGTGATTTTGCTCCCCAACTGATATTTGACAGACATTTTAAATTGTCACAGCTGTAGGTAGCAGCGTGTTAGTAGTATTTACTGACCAGGAAGGCTGCTGAAAGTCCTCTTAAGCACAGGTCAGTCTCCCACTACAAAGAATAACCTAATCCAAAATAGCAATAGTACTAATAAAGTTAAAAACTCTTCCAGGGAGGTGGATTGATGTGTGTATACAGTTACTCCACCTTAAAAGTCTGACCTATGTCGTAGTTGCTACAAAATAATGAACAGAAACTTATATTTATTTTCTGCAAAAATATTTCATATACTGCAGATACTTAATAAATAAAGCAACAAATACTATGAATAGTTACTTCCAATTTTAACAGAAATCTGCAATGAATGAGTCTAGTACTAAATTTCAAAATCTAAGACTTTGAGCCTGCTAATCTAAATAAAACCACTTGGAACATCCGCCAAACTTCATTTCAGATGTATTTAATAATATTGACAAAAGATACCCTAATTATCTAAATGTCAATACACATTAAGAGCAGTTACTAGCGTGAGTAATAAATTAGACGCACAAATTCATCCTAGTACATTCGGGGGGGGGGGGAAGTGCCCTATCTCTGCGCAATATTTAGATACAGTCAGAGCCAAATACGGACACTCAGAATATTAAGTGAATCAAACACATTGTTTTGTTTTAGGATCAAGCTACGGGTAGGTAGTAACAGTGTGGCATCTTCCCACTAAAAGATATTTAAAAAACATATACATAAAACTGAGCGCAAGGTTATGGTAATTACAGAAAACATCAAAAAGTTCCTCTCTCAATTACTTTCCATCCCTTTCAAGGTGGCGAGTTGGCCGGGTGGGGGGTGGGGGTCACGCCCAAGTTCATCACAGAGCTCTTATTTTAACTGGTACAGTAATTTAGAAAATAAGAGTCCCCCTGAACACTATTTTCGAGTCATCCAGGCAGATCAACTATCACTTTTATCTGTACAGCGTACTCCCTAAGCGCACACAGCAAGATTACCTGGCAAGAAATCTCCCACTAGGAAGTAGCTGTGAGACCTTGAGCGTCTGGACGTGAGCTGTGGGGAGAATGGACTCAAAAAAAGCAACCTGGGCATTTATTACTCAATTTCTACGTCTTAAACACCCTGGTCCCCACTCTCCACACTTCACACTGCGCTCCGGCCCCACGGACCGAAGTCGCTGTGAAGCAGCGGCCACGAAAACCTCAGCCTCAACTAGGGAAGGCCTGCTGAGGAAGCAGCGGGAAAGGAAAGAAAATCTGAGTCGAGAGTGCGGAGAGGCCTGGGCGAAAAGGATGTCACACCCACCTGCGCGACCTCTTCGCCATCCTTCAAGTACCGCATAGGCGCGGGCTGGGCGGGGACGCAGATCAGCCTCCTCCAGCCTCAGGCGAATGCTCCTTCTCCCCAACCCTCCCGCCGCTTCCCAACCTCCCTCTTCCAGGCGACCGAGCGCGGAACGCACGTCCCCGGTAGGGCAGGACGGAGGGACGGAGGGGCGGACCGTGACCCGCCCCCGGCCCGTAGCGCCGCTCCTAGCCCTGGCCTGGCGGGGTCAGAGATGCCCCCAACATGTCAGGAGGCGCGCTCCCGCCCTCCGCCCACTCCTCTCGTTTCCTCTCAGCCTCTCCGCTGCGGTCCCAGAGCGGCTGTGCCCCAGGAGCCGACCCCCCGCCCTCTCCGCAGCGAGCAACTCTGCAGGGCTCGCAGCCTCCTGCAGGGTTTTGTCCCCACCGCCGAATCTCGCGCCCAGCCTCCCTCAAGAGCCGCCGTTTGAATCTGCGCACGCGGCCCCGAACCTCATTGGCTGTGGCGGCCGCACGCGGGGGACGAGGGCGGGGCAGGGAGAGCGCGCGCGACCGAGGGCGGGGCTGGGGAGCTGGAAGCCGGGACTGGAACTCTCGGGAGCCCGGGAAGGAGCTGAGAGCAGTGGGTGGGGCCGGGGCTGGGGCAGAGATTGCGGGTTTACTAGTGACAGGACCCGGAGCGTGCTGAGCGCCGCACAGCGAGGGGTCGAGGCGCCGTGGACCCCGCAGGGCCTACTGGGAAAGCGAGTTCCAGCGCTAGCCCTGAGGCCGGTCCGGAAGTGGCGGCGGGAGTCCAAAATTCCCCGGGTCGTCCGACCGCGTCCCTGGAGTTGGGCGATCCAGCTGCCTACGGCCTTGCCGGCTAATCATCCACGACAGCTCCTCCTGAGATGCATCCCGCTTCACTTGTTAGAATGCGCGGTCCTCGGACTTGAAACAAATTAACAGTAATATTTGCGCGGCCATTATTGTTCACGCAAAAAATAGGAGCTGATTTTGCTGAGACTCCGTAATTACTGGAGTTATGAAGACGCTGGCAGGAAACTGGATAACAAGAATGAACAGGAGCGTTAACAGGTGACAAAAGGTTTTAGCTGGAGCGTGTAGGGAACAGGAAAGAGAAATAATCCAGGTCCGTAGCTGGTCTTTAAATGCACTGGGACCTCGCTCTTCGGCAAATAGGCGATGCTCGGAAGACAGAAAAGGGCTCGGCAATTCGGGCAGATAATGACTACCAGAGTCAACCGTAGGAGGTGACCTTCCTTCGCAGAAGAGAGGGACTGAGAGTCCTAGCATTTCCACCTACCCTAGGGATTTCAAACTGCTCAGTTCAAGTGCATTCATGTCAGTTAGCTACAGTAACGATCAGCCCTGTTAAGGATTTCAGTTTGCAAGGTAATATGCTCTACTGCATGGAGCACTGAACACGTGTTAATGCAACAAACTTACATTTTGCTATTTTGAAATTTTACGCATCAAATTTTGCAAATTAGAGATGCAGGTGCAAGGGGCAATAAGAGGAGCTTGCATGCAGTACTTTGAAAACTTAAAAACATCTGTGTTGTTAAAGTTCCTTTTTCTCAAGTTAGGGTCTGGGAAGATAAAACAGCTGTTCTTTTAAATCACTCCTTAGTGTGTTGCTGGTTCGGAGTTGTTTTGTTTTCCAACCTAATTTTAAAAGTAATGCCATTTGAAAACTTAAAATTTATTCCTGAGTCACACATTCTTCCGCTTATTTGTATAGCAAAAAGTAGAGCTTCTGCTATATTTTAGATTTTAATCAGTGTTATACAGGATATCATTTTAGAGCCTTTTAGGTTTTTTAGATTTTTATTGTAAACATCTTTATATTACTGATAGAGGAAAACAAAATTCCTCAGAAAGGTGATACAACACTGCAGATACATTTAAATTATTTATAAAAAAGACACAATGGAATTAAAGTGGCCTGAGTTTTTGTCCAGAGTATATCAGGTACTCTCAGAATTCAAAGAGAAAAAAATAATTAAAAAATAGACAAAGCATTAGAACAAAAACTTCTTTAAAAAAACATACAAATGGCAAATAAGTCTCCACATCATTAACCATTAGAGAAGTGTAAATTAAAACCACAATGCAACACTATTACACATCTATTAAAATGAGGGGGGGGAAATACTGACTATACAAAGCTTACTAAAGATGAAGATGCTAAGCAAATATAACGTCCAGACTTGTTGGTAGGAATATAAATGGTACAGCCATTTTGAAAATAAATGTTTAATGTTGCCTTTATTTGTAATCACCAAAAATTGCGAACACTTAAAAGGAACACTTCTCACACATTTACTTCTCATCTTCCAAGAGTCTGTTTTGAATTATTAAGCCTTTTCAAGTTTTCCACTGAAGTTCAGGGAACTGAACACCAAGGCAAAATGGGATTTAGGAATATGTTGAAATTTTATTTTAAAAATATTTTATCTTGGGCCCCTCTCTGGTGGCGCAGCAGGTTAAGGCGTAGCACTGCAAGCCACTTCAGTGTGAGTTTGATCCCTGGTCCTCAAGGTGATCCACTTGGTTTAGCAGATCTCTCCTGACCTGCCACTGCTCCCTCAGCAGTGAACTTCATTGATCTGCCTTGTTCTGCTCCCCACTCCCTCTCTGGTGAATCCTCTCACTCACTCATCCCCTGCACCTCTGGCCTATACCCCAGTTCTGTAAGCACAAATAAATAAATCTTTTAAAAAAATTTAATTTTAAGAACTCATGTAAACTATTTTTTCCTACTCTATGGCAGATAGATTTGAGTTTTCATTATTAAAGTAATAGAAAATTATATGCAAATTTACTTTCTTGCTCTACAAGTTTAAATAAGTGAATAAATAAGTGACCTCATTATTATTATTAAATAAACCAGCAGGAAGATGTTCCCTGTTCATCTATCATGCAGCTGTACATACTTTTCATCTTTCTGAAATCAAGTATCAAATACTAAAAAGCTTATGCTAATTTACTATAGTACCTAAGAGATTATTCCTTTTTCTTTTATTGTAGCTTTTTGAAATTAAATTTTTTGGGGGGGCCCGCCTTTGGTGGCACAGCTGGTTGGAGCAAAGCTAAGCCAAGCTGTGGCTGCTTCAGTGTGTGTTCGATCCCTGCCCGAGGTGACCCACATGGCACGGAAGACCTCTCTCTTGCCTGTTGTTCCCCTCAGCAGTGTACTTTGTCGAGCTGCCTATTCTGCTTCCCACTGTTTCTAGTGAATCCTCTCACCGCCCCTGTACCTCTGGCCTGTACCTCATGTCTGTATACATAAATAAATAAAATCTTAAAAAAAAATACAACTTAATACTTCAATGTGTGCACATGCTTCACTTGCCTTCCATCAGGCCTCCAGTGCCTTTATTCCACGTATATTCTCCACTCCCCTCTGGTAACCACCATAGTTTTCACAAAGCCCAAGTTACTTCTTTGTTTTTTTCAGTTTGTTTTCTTTCATTATTTATATTTCACAAATGAGTGAAGCCATTAGGTAACTGTAAAAAAAAAATACTATTTTTTAAGAGTCGAATCAAACATTCCCTTAAAGGGATTTATTTGCCATTCATTTATGAAATCCTAGTTCCTAAAATAATGATATTCCCCAGATGGTCAATAAATGAAAAATTATAGCTTGAGGGGAAAGGCAAATAAGTACAATTAATACTTATACTCACAAAGATGCAAAAAAATATTAAAATAGATTTGAAATACCATTTTATGACTCATATAGTAGCACATTTTTTTTTCTAAATCTTGCCAATAAGGTTTAATTAATTCTTTGATGTTACTATTGAATCTGGTATTTCTTTTAAAAGCAATACTGAGCAAAAGTCATAAATATGTAAATAACCTTTGACAGAAATTTTATCTTAAGAATATATATAATTACAAGCTAAAAAGATGAGCTTGGATACTTAGTGTATTTCATTAGAACCCAGTTTGGAAACATTTATATTTTAAGGCTAATTTAAAAAGATTTGTCAGCAGAAAACAATTATACAGCCTGTACAAGCTGTAAAAGATTGAGGTAATGCCATCAAATAGCTATTACATTATTTTCTAGGTTCTTTGTATGAGTTCATCTTAGGTAATATTCACAACTTCTATAATTCTAATAGCCCTTTAGGTATGTGTCATTATTTTTGTGCATTTCATAAATGACAAAATCAGGCACCAAAAAATAAACATTTTCAAGGTTATACAGTGGCAGAACTAAGATTAGAATTGATAGAACGCAAGCTCCCATTCACTCTACTCCCTTAATATCCTTGGGCATTCAAGTAAGCATAGCATGGAAGTAATATAGAGGTAGTTGGGTGTAATGTAAAAGATCTAGTAGCAGAAGTATATGCTTAGGAAGATATTAATAGTATGATATCCAAAACAGGGTGATGACTATGGATGATTGATGATGGGAGAACTATAGTGACCACACCTGAAGGAAGAAATAAAACTGCTAAAAATGGAGATTCCATATGATCCAGCAATCCCACTCCTAGGTATCTCCCCAAAAGACACAAAAACACTGATTGAAAAAGATACCTACCCCCATGCTTATTGCTGCTTTATTTACAATTGGAAAGACGAAACGACCCAAAAGCCCAAAAGTGGATGACTGGATTAAAAAGATGTAGTACATATACACAATGGAGTATTACTCAGCAATCAAAAAATAAACATAAGCCTTTTGGAGCAACATGGATGGAGCTGGAAAAGATCATGCTTAGTGAAATAAGCCAGAAAAAAAAGGAAAAATACTGATGGCTTCACTCATAGAAGGAGTATGATGGACCAGGTGAGAAAATAATAATAATGATCAGCTATATACCAGAGACATTTTATGGGGGTGGAGTGGGAAATGGGATAAAAAATTGGGGGGGGGGATGCACTGTACTATGGTGATGGCACATGGGTGATTTGGTGATGGGAAGCCCACGGGGATTACAACTGAGATGGAAAAATGCACAAAATGATATAAAAATAAACTATTATATAAAATAAAGAGTGGTTGTACTGTAAGGGGAAAAAAACTGTAAGAGAAAATGAAGTTCTAAAGTTATCTGGTTTCAACCATATAGTCCCTGTGCTACCATGAAAGCA